GGTTTTTTTTTATCCTGAAACTGGATTTTGTGGATCTAAATTTTAGCTTTATTTGACTGTGAATTATCCAAACTTTACTCTCACTGACAGTAAGAAATTAGTTTTCAGTTCAAACTAAAACCAGATTATTGGCGATGCCTGTAGAACAACATGTACTGAAGGCTTTGTCCCCACTGCAGATGCCTGGGTTCGATTCCAGCTCAAATAATCTCTCTATTCACCCCACAGTTATCTGTCACTGTCTAATAAAGGTGAAAAGGACAGAAATATATCTTAAAATGCCAAATTTATTATTTGCATAAATTCAATGGATATTCTAAACTTGATCATATAGGTGAATATTAAAAAAAATATTTAAAAAAAATTTTTTTAATTATTTTTTGGAGAAAAGCAGCACTCTCGATAGCTTCCCGTCTATCCAGCAGCACAGAAAGAAAGGGTGGGGGCACAGGTGACCATATACCACATGGTCGAAGTGCTGTATCTTCTCTCTCTCCACCTTCTAGTCTGTCTTCACTGCTTTATTTAATCAGTGAACATAAATGGACAGTTATGGGTAGCTGAAGTTAAACAATTTTAAAATCATAAAATTTGCCCGTTAGGGAGAACACAACTTCTGAATCAGAGGATCGTCTGTCATGCGTGACATTTTTCTATCAGACGAATAAAACAATAAAAAAAAAAAAGAAAAGCTAAATATCCCTGGATTCCTGTTAAATGTCTGTGTGTGTGTAAAAATAACAACGTCACTCTGACTCTGCACAAACCCAAAGCAACGGGTTATTTCCCCTTTCTACATTTGTTCTCAAGAAAAACAGGAAGTGGTTTTAGTAGCTGAATAAGTTCATCACTAAGTTATTAGGTGAAAAGTCACATAGACATTTAGATTGCTTAAACAACAGAAAACACATTTCATGAAGCTGATCAAATTATATAAAAACAAAAATCTCTTGACATATACTTAGGTCACCTCCTCTCTGTATGTTAATGCACATTTTTTACCAATAATTCCTCCTCAGGGCGCTTTGCTGTCCGTGACATGCGTCAGACGGTGGCGGTGGGCGTCATCAAAGGCGTGGAAAAGAAAGCCGCCACGAGTGGTAAGATCACCAAATCGGCACAGAAGGCGCAGAAGGCCAAATGAACGTTGTGCTGGGCTGCTGCCCCAAACGCTCACCATGGCCGAAGACACACCCCGCCCTTTCTGCACTCCATAGTCAGCGTCTGGTCTATTATCACAATGCATCGCAAAAGCAGACGAAGGAAAAAAACTAACCAAAACGCTGTTAGTGCTCGTCTTATGTAGGTTTTATTGCAGCAGAACACAATAGGTTTGCGTTACAGTTCTCTGCCTGTTGAAGTTAATGATTCAGCTTCTCGTGGATCTAGACGACAATCGTAGTGACGAGGCAGACGCGTTCTTTTGTCAGCTCTTCGTTCATGTAAGCTCTGTGTTGTAGCTTTAACAAAAAGATAAACTTGTTAGCCTGAGGTAGATCAGCTTCTTGCATGTTTGCACCTTAGAGAAACTCTCCGTGCCTCGCACTTTGCTCAACTTAAACTCCCTCCAAGTAGCTCTGATAATTGTTACTGTTAAGTTCACCCTAACCGCTGTTATTTGTGATTCTACGTTCATACAAGTAAAGGTGTTTAAACATTATCTCTCTGCTCCTCATTTCATTCAAATCAAAACCACCAAAAAACATCTGTAGAATTTCCTTTATTGATGAATGAGAATAAAAGTTTGCTTGCATTTACATTACAGGCTTCATAAATCTGAGATTATTACTAGTGTGTAAATATGTGAACATAATTTAAATAAATTAAAATGACACACAGACAGAATGGTAACATGTCAAAGGTCCATTTTTAGCTCAATAGCAAAATCTCTGAATATAAAAACTAAAATGCCTCAAGTAAGGACCTAATGAGAGGAAATAAAGACAGTGCAATCATCTCTGTGTGGAGGAACCTAATGCACCTTTCAGAAACTAAATTAACTCAAAGCTCAATATGTACCATACAAGCAAGGCACCGGTATACTGGATGTACTGCACATTTTGTAGACTTCATATCAGAGCTGGGCTCCTTGATTTTAAACTCAAGTGATGGCATAGCATTCATTATCACTTCTAGATAGGTTTGGATATGGCAGCCTCTTCATGCAAAGGAGATTAAAATCCATTCTTCAAAGCAAACTAAACTTCCTCAAACTTTTCTGGTTTTTGGTAAGGGGTATCTGCAGAATCTATTCAGGTGTTTTATGTCATGCATCTATAGATCAGTCCACGTTCTACCCTGCTATTTAGCCTGTCTGTGTCACACGGGCAGGGACACTCAGATCCACAATTGTAGGTGAGGGTAGAAATGTAGATCGACCAGATGGGCAGTTTTTACCTGTGATAGCCAGAGGTGGACCAATCACCAAAACTGATCTGCATCTAGCTGTGCTGTAATAGTTTTCCCAAGTACCAGAAAAAACTACTTAACCGTATCAAATGCATCTAATTCTCTAACATGCAACAAGGAGGTTTGACATTGCTTTTCTTGTTTTAATGTCAATACTCAGCGACTATACATTCTGTAGCCAGGAAGCAAAAATAATCCCCACATCACAGAGTATAGAAAAAAAGCAAACATTGACCATGATTTTAAATAAGAGTTTAAAAATCTTCCCTCATGTAAGAACAGGCCGGGAGAAAAGCCAGATACAAGAAAAACTCGTACGTCTAAACATTTCCTTCAGTGTTTCTGAACCAAAACAAAGTGCTTTGCCAGGTCACACACCTGTTCTGACATTAAGCAATTCTCTTAAACCAGGTAATGACATTTGAGATGTTCTTCAATCCATGGCTGCGATCGGCAGGGAAACCAACCGGTCGGTGCATAATTGATGTGAAGTTAACAGCCGCTGCTTGTAACCTCTGTTGACGTCCTCACTGGCTGCTGGTGGGAATAGGCATTCTTCTCTGTACATGTGTGCATACAGCAAACTTGCATGCATGCCTTTGAAACATGATTTGAGTTCAGGGGTTTTACGGCCACCCATCAAAGAGACCAACATTTTTTAACATGGGGTTTAATTTATCCAAGGAAATGGCCAGAAATAACAATTTGTGTTGGCTCTTCATGCTTGGTCAACCCCAAAGACTCATTCTGACCAGAAAAATAACTCCCTGAGCCAATAGCAGGGAACTCAACCTCAAACACAACTGGGCATTTGAAAGAAGGTAACAAATAGATGGTGAGCTATGACCTCGGGCTGAGGATTGGTGGTGGTGTTGACAAAAAAGTGATCGTCTGCCAAAAAAGATTGCCTGCATTTAAACTACTGTAAATCACTTGTTAGCCTATAATATATAAAAATGTATCCCTCATGAATGATATCAAGTCATCTTGAGCTACAACAGCATTCCTGCCACAAGGTAGAAGCTGCAGAGTTTTTGGCGTGTAGGGCCGCACGGTGCCGTGCTGGTTAGCACTGTTGCCTCAGACAGCTCAACTCCACAACCTGGCCAGGACCTTTCTGTGTGGCGTTTGCATTTTCTCCCTGTGTTTGTGTGGGTTCTCAAGCTTCCTCCCACACTCCACAGACATGCAGTTTGTGGGGTTAGGTTAATTGGTCATTCTAAATTGCCCATAGGTGGGAATGGTTGTCTGTCCCTACACGTTAGCCCTGCGACAGACTGGCGACATGTCCAGGGCATATCCTGCCTCTCGCCTATGGTAGATGACACAGGCTAGAGTCCCACCCCGTAACCCTGGTAAGGATAAGTGGAAGAGAATAGATGCATATATATCCTTTATTTATCCAGTTAACAAATCTCATTGATATCAAAAATGTCTTTAAGAGTGATCTGGTCAAGAGCGCAGCAGTAGTTGAAACAAATACGACTTATGCGACGTTTTAAGAGACCAACATGGTCACAAAGACACTTGCAAAACTGGTCATTTTGTTATTTTATGTAAAACTCCTTTTTAAAATCCTGTTCAAGTCTATTAATCAATATAAATAAAGACATTACAAATAAAACACACACTGAAACATCAGGAATCACTTTTTGGCAGACTATCACTTTGTTGTTGTAACGCCAGCTCCCGGGCTGATCCCACAAATAGCAAGGAGAGAGGGCGGGGCATGGAAACAAGAATATACAAATATGTAGGGCAGGAAACATTTGTAGACCAACGGCTTGAAGAGGGTGTTGTGAGGAGTGGTTCCACTCCCCAACTTAAGATAAAATCCACACTTAAATGTACCTGTTGTGTTTGGAAAAAGCCCAAAGTACACAAAAGTTGGGCTTTGTGATAAAGCATATCTTTTCTTCCCGCTGAGCCTCTGAGTAGCAGCTTATGGTTTTATAAGTTTCAAAATAAGACACCAAAAGAATCTGAGTTTAAGTGAACAAAGACTATATAAGATGGAGGTAGCCACTCTGCTTTCACCTATCGGTTACTCATTTCCTGCTATGAAGCACTTTTGGGGTTCCCATCTTGGTGTTTTGAAAGCAGAGGTGGAGCTGATGGTGAAACTGAGGGACACTTAATGCCCATATGTTCACCCTGTAAACCTGCTTTATGTCCTGCACAGTAATAGGGATCACGATTCACAAAATGAACAATATTTTACTTGAAACTAGTGATGTTAACTATGAAACCATCGAGGAAGTGAGCAGCAGGGACATTTCTTTCTCAGTTTATACAACAGGGCTTTCTTTTTGAACCAAGGGAGTGTCCCCCTGCTGGCCATCAAAAAGAATGCAGGTTTAAGGCACTTCTGCATTGACTTCACTTTTCAGATCTAGAAGCTACGTCTATCTCTTATATACAGTCAGTGATTGTGGTTGAACAGTCCAAAAATATCATTTTACCTTGATGGAAAACATAAGAGATAAAGAACCATGGTGCTCAGAGAATCTAACTGTACTTATACTAACATAACAATACTTGATAACATCATTATGCTCCAATACATCAGTGTATATATTTTTTCTTTTTGGGGGGGGGCCCTACAAGCACTAACAGGAGCCCATTTGTTCATTTTAATTACTGACAATCAAATCTCTGAATGCAACTGGCCCCTCCCCTACCTTCCCTGTGTGTTCTTGCACCTTATAAAACAGAGTTCCAAAATTGTGTGGAGGACAACAACCTAAAACCACAAGAAATTTGTTGTTCTTGCTGTAAAGACGGAAAAAAAACATGCATGAAAACGTAACTCGTATTGCCTGTATTCACATTACACTGGTATATTCCTTTTTAATAGAGTTCTTTTTAAAGGTTTGATTGAAACTAAAATGATTTAAATTCTGTCCTTTGAATGTATTGCTTTAGTTTCATAAAATTTACCCTCTTAACTTCAGATTACCTGTACAGATTATGGTTAAAGTTGGGTCTTATTTTAGCCACAAGGCCAAATTTCCAGAAACAAAGACGACGTTACATCTCAGAATTAAGTCTTGTTCATTTCCGCATTACAGTTTTTCTATAAAAAGATTTTCCATTTTCCAAACAGGTGAAAATGTTCAAATATGGGTTGGATGCTAAGAAACCGAAACCTAAGATATGTCATCAATGACCTTGTGAATCTTAACTCATTCACTGCCATTGACGTCTATAGCCGTCAATTGCAGTGAATGAGTCAATGGGTTTAACTCATTCACTGCCAACGACTGGCAGTGAATGAGTTAAGAGGTTAAAGATGGGAAAGAAAGAATGCATCTGGCAGTAGTGATGTAACATCATTTCAGTGTGGAAACGTCTTGTTTGATGGGAGACACACAAAATGTGGCTTTTATACACTGAACATGGCCATTCTCAGAGAGGGTTTCAATAAGTGTTAGGAGCCCATGGCCTCGACTGCAAACTGTACATTTCAAATCTCTGTACCTCTTTACAATAAGCATGCACTTCATGCTGTATGTCAAGGTCTCATATCAACCCAAGTTTAACAGCAGAGGTTTTTGGGTGTCTCTGTTGTCGTTTCTCAGGCGCTTATCTCAGATTTGTCAATCACACTTTAAAACAAAACTCATGCAATGATATGTCATATGGTCAGCCTGTATGAAAATACTGTGATTCTTATCAAATGGATCAACATGAATATAAACAGAAGAAGTCCCCATGTAATATTCCCACCCACCCACTTCCCTCCAAAAAGGATAAAAACCGTCTTTTTGAGGTGAGATTGGTGTGCCTTCCTGACATGTAGCTGGGTCTATTTTAGCCGTACGTGTGGCATGTTCAGCAACTCGTTGCTGCCAGTAGAGGGCAAGGATGCGTGACCGCTGGCCAGACTGCGGTTTGAGCCCTGGGTCCCTGCTCCGGCTCTGCCGCCTGTCCTCAGGAGTTCTGAGGAGTAAGTCGGAGTCTCGGCAGACCCCTGTGACAAGAAGTCAAGTCCCTGCGTCTCAATGTCTCTATCACTGATAAAGAGGTCCTCCTCACCCCACCCACCTCCACTCCTCCTCCCTGTACCGCCCCCTCCTCCCCCTGGATCTTGGCTACAGCTATGGAAGCCAATGGGGGAGTCACTGCTTGTACTGGGGCTTGGAGATGACAGGCTGTGGCCGTGATGGGTGGGGGCTACTTGCTTCAGATCCTGCACTGACATGGACTTGCCCAATCCTCGGTCCATCTCGTTGGACCCAGAGCAGCAGCCCAGCGCTGGTGGCACCAGGGGCTCCAGCTCCAAGCTCATTTGTCTCCTCCAAGATCCCTCCTCCTTTGTGCTAAGCCTGCTGTTGCTGTTCCCTTGGAGCTGCTGCCCCAATCTGTTGAGCCCCAACCCAAGGCCCTTCCTGACAACGCTGTCCTCCATCTGTGTCCCAAGACCTCCACAAAAGTCCTCTATGTCAGGGGATACCTCTATGGAGGCTGTTCGCACTAAAGTGCCAGGGCCGTGACTTCGGCTAGGAGGGGGTGGAGGTGGAAGCCTCGCCAGAAGAGGAAACCCACCATCTCTTACTCCTCTGTCCCCTGAACTGCTGACACTGTTTGGGGTGAGGATGGGTGGAGAACTACCCATAGCCTCATCAGTGCCACTTTCAGGTGTGGTGGCCTGAGCCTGGGGATGGTGGTGGTGGCGATGGTGATGATGATGTGGCAGGGGCGATGGGCTGAAAGAGGATGATGCGAGGCCAGAGGGAGGCGTGGAAGAGGGGGCATTGAGATTGAGGTTGAGCTCGTTGGGGGGCCCCAGGATGAGATGGAGTCCTCCCTGCGAGAGATGAGAACTGGTGGAGGAGCGAGTGACGAAGCCGCTGGTGGGCGGCGCTCCACTGCTGCTGACCTGGGTGGAGCAGGACATGTCCTTGCTGAAGACAGAGGAGTGGTAGTCTGAAGTCTGTTCCAGCTCGAAGAGGGGAAGAGAGGAAAGCGTGAGGGCCGAAGACGAGCCTTTACGCAGAACCTGACGATAAATGTCGAGCAGGGAATCCAACTTCGACTCAATCGACTGGACCTGTGAGCAGAGAAGAGGAATAAAGGAGTGATCTACCGCCACATCTGGCAGAATGTACAGATGCTCTAAGTGTTGATTTGAATGCTTAAGAATCAGGTCTGGGGGCTCATAGCTACCTCAACAGCATCTTGCTTTCTACCAGATGTTTGTTTTAAGTTTTAGGATTCATATGCATTTGCCACTTTCAACGTGTGCACCTAAAAAAATCAATTTGCTGTAAAGAGTAAAATGTGATTCAGGGCCGTCTTAATAAGGTTTTGAATTCTACCCATTGTGACAAATACCAAAATAAAATGATCAGTAAGATTTTTTTAGTCTTATAAGCAGTTTGGAGATGAATGTGATTAGATGAGTTAGTCTAATGTTGCGTAAAAACTGGAAGCGGGACAGAGCCGGAATACCAACAAGTTCATTACCTGTAACTTTAGGAAACTTAAACGCAGTCGAGATGGATCACATTTTACTGTATTTAGCTGGTTTGCTGTCGATGGACTGGCACTTACGTAGCGCTGTTCTAGTCTTATTGACCAGAAACACTGGGGGCATTTTGGGGTACGTAATGAGGACCGGAGGCAGCAAGGATCCAAACACTGAAGCTCCAATTAGCAAAAACCCTGATCCTCTCAACCTCCTGAAATTTTAAGAACAAAACCCAGATGACGGACCTGTCGCTCCACCTTACAGACGCGACCCAGCATGCTCATGTCCTCCAGTATATCGCCATCAGAGAGCAGCTTGTCTCGAATCTTCTTATCCAGAGGAATTTGGCCCTTCCCAAGGATTTGGTCCACCCTGAAATGCACAGAAATACAAGCAAACACAATAAGATATTAATTTTAAAATGTACAAAGGAGGACTACAAAAGGAAGGAGAATTAGAACCGTTTATCTAAAGTAAACCTTTCCCCGAATAAAACAAATCCAAACACGAGAGATTATTCTTCCTCACTGGACTTCACACTTCCAAACATTACCAACCAGATTACATTTTACCAATTAACAATACAACTTTTTATTTCAGACTTTAAACATTAGAGTCTTATATTTTGGTTTACACATGATTATATTTATGTCTAAATGCTAAATCCAGTCAGGCTCTGTGGGATCTGGTTAATAAAGTCTGTTTGTGTTAAAGCTGACAGAGAGCACAGAAAAACTGAGCCAAGATCATGCAATCACGAGTTCACCAAAAGGAAGAAGAAAAAGTCAGGTGTGGACACCCTGTATGTCACCACTAAATCATGCTAGAAGAAAAGGGGATCGAGAACTACACAGGGAAGTTAGATCTGGATTCTAAAACTGTAGTTTTACAGGAGGAAGCGAGAAGAGTTACGACACTCGTTCATTGTAAATCAGTCCAATTTCAAATAAGAAATGTAATTCAGGATAAGATGGGCAGGAACCAAATGATTCACGCTCCTCTTGTATATGAAACATGCAGATCAAATGTAGACGATCTGGGGATTGTAATTGTGGACTGGATCCAAATATAGACAAGACCAGCCTCCATGTAACATTTTAAACATTTTACTAAAAAAAACAAAAACATTTTGCGTAAATTTAAGGACTGTTACAGCTTTCTCTATTCTAATCTTACAGATGTTTTTCATATATTACAGTGAGGTCATGGCAGGTTGAAGTTATTTGTGGCTGGAGCTTGCTGGCCTGTGTTAGACTCTACTCGTGACTACGAGATGTGGTTAAAAAAAAAAAAAAAGAAGCATGTTGACAGGCCCTCCACCCTTTGCAAGTCGGATTGGCTCATCTGCAGCAACAGAGTGCACACAGCATCAGCAGGGGGCAGTGTTGCAACAGCAATGACAGGTGAAACCTTCTGGTGTGTGATTGGAGTGTGTCTAAAACATGTTAGCATCACATTGCAAACTCCTTTCCCAGAACAGAAGTCAATTTACTTAAGAGATCTGTTAGTGGCTGGTTAGTAGCAGATATACCCAGGACGTGTTTGTGTGTGGGAGCAGAGTGTGGCTCGAAGCTCAGTTAATTCAGGCTTTAGCTCGTCAACCAGGGGCCTCATTTATCAAATCATCAGAGGAAGAAAGCTCCAAACTTACACGTTTTTAAAACCTGCAGACAACTTGGATTTATCATGCATATAAAGGCACAGCTGTGCACAGCTGTGGTGACAAATCCTGAACTTTCAACCCCTTAAAAGCCTCGGGTGGCACATGTGGAACAAGAAGTGAAGGTAAAGGCAACAAAACAACACTGGCAGCAATGTAAAGGTCCTGATTAACAAAGACAAGCAAATCTATCAGTTTTATGGAGGACTGGAAGGAGTAGTACTGTACTGCACTATGTGTCAACTCAAGCTGATTTAGGCTTCATCTGTCCCCTTCCTGACAAACCTGCCAGTCTCTTAGGACACACAGCATGCTTCAGGGGCTTATGTCATTGTTAAATGGTAAGCTGAAATCCTTTGAGTTTGGGGTTTATAGAGCTGTGTTTGTAATTGCTCTTCAATGTGAAAACTGTACACATAAAAATAGTTTAATGTCCTGGTGAGCAGTGAAAACAAGGTTCATTCAGAAAAGTTTCCAAGCAGTGCTACTAAGTGAATTTTGGATCAAGAGGGACTTTGCCTGTCCAAAATCAGAAGTGAGATGTTGGCACAGCTGAAGTATAGTATTATGTACTCGTCAGCCACTCAACACCATCTACAAAGGAGGTCCCCGCAGTCCTTAGACATGCACGCTGCACACCATCCATTTCTCTATTTCATCTCTGGTGAGCCAGGCTCAGCAACTGCCGGTTTCTATGGATCAGTTGATCCAGACCTAACTATATGCTTTGTCAAAGGGAAACTTTTAAGCCTAATCTTAAAAGTGGAATCCAAACTGGGAGTTTCCACAGAAGAGGGGCCTGAAAGCTGAAGGGTCTACCTCCCATTCTACTTTTAAATACTCTAGGAACCACAAGTCAGCCCACAGTCTGAGAGCGAAGTGCTCTAATGGGTTTATATGGTACTATAAGGTCATTAAAATAAGATGGGGCCTTTTAAATTTGATTCTGGATTTAACAGGAAGCCAATGAAGGGAAGCCAATATGGGGGCAAATATGCTCTCTCTTTCTAGCAAAAAATGAACTCAACAGTTATACTAATTGTCCCGAGCGCATGTTTTGTAATCCTCATTGCCATCACTTCTCCATGAAGGGGCGGTCAGGTATGCTGGACTAACGAATGGTTGATAAATGAGGCCGCACTTTATGTTTTCCTTCACGTTTCTGAGAACAAACCAGCTTCTGAATTGTGCGACTGAGGAGTGAACTGAACCCATGTGACATGCGAATGACAGAGTAGGTGGGTAGATTGAGTAAGTTGGGGGAATTCTGACCCCTGGGTGGAGTTCTTCCTCCCCTGGCTGTAATAGACAGACAGGGAGGGGGAGGAAAAGGCCTTGGCTCGGCTGCTCAGGGGCTGTGGGCCTACTATCATGTCCAGCCTGGAGAGAAGCAAACACAGGTACAAACATGCAAAAACACAAACTGCAAAAAGAAAAAAACAACGTGAGATAAACCCATGCATGTATAAGGAATGCATACACACATGCAGATCTTTTGCAGTACAATGTCCGTCCTACCTGGTCTGCAGGCTCTTGATGCGGCACAGCATGTCCAGGTGACCGGCAGAGTACTGTTCGATCACGTCCTTCACATCATACGGACGCAGCGTCTCCTTAAACTTCTTCTTGGCTACATGAAACTTCATGATCCTGCATGAACAGCACAGAAGTTCATAAATTCACCAGAAGGGGGAGCTGTGGTCCAGCCGTGACACTGCCAGCCTGAGCTAATGTAAACAAATTAAAGCCTGCATTTATTTTGATAGTGCTTAATGGTGCTTTTAATGTGTCGACCTGTTTGTTCACAGCATTTCAAACGCTCAGAACAACCACTTTCTCAGAAAAAAGGCAGATTTTAGCTGCATGTGTATGTGGATGGAAACACCTGTGGAGCACTGAGGCTGAATTCAAGGGAACGTGGCTGAAAGTGGAGAGTCAAAGGGGTCGGAAACAATGAAAACAAGCTGGATTATATTGTCACAGCCTTCTGATATACAGTTTTGGTCCATGTGAATGCTTCAAAATATCAAAAATATTTAATAAGATGCTCAGCCAGCATCATTTCATAGAGCAAAACAGGGGGTCCTGATGATGTAGTTTACATGTACATACCACTGAGCCTTCTGACACGAAATGTGATGCATATAAAAATGTACAAGTGACAAGTTATGAGGTGAATGGCATACCTGGCTTCTGCTATTGTCAGATTGACTCAAAGAACATTTTTGCTGCAGCTGCAAATCTCATTTAGTGACTTCCTGAATTTGCCGTACCCCCGACTTACCTTCGCATCTCTGTGCTGTCATGTGGTTTCAGAATGTACCTCAGAATGTGAGACTGTTGTGAGTGAGTGCATACACAAAACTCTACTATGGGCTTGAACATTAGTTTTCCTTTGGGTGCATTCTGCGTAAGGAAGCTCGTTAGCTTGCAGGTGCCATGGAAGTGAGCACATCTGTTTAGCTTCTTGGCCCCTGATTGGCCTCGAGTTTGGCACGTAGGACATTTGATTAGTGAATTTACACTTTTCTTTGCACAATAACTGAAGCACATTTAATGAAGCAAATATTTTCAGAATACAAGCCTTTGAAGCGCACTGATGTTTATTTGCTGTATTTCCAGCATTTTTGGTCCTTCATAATTTTGTAAATACAGCAGGTACCTACGTTAAAGTTGTAGCCTTTAGTGAAGGCTATCGTGACTGATGTGGCTGTGTCACTATTTTCACACCTGTCTGTGTCCACAAAGTGATGCGTGACAGCCAGTTCACTTTATATGTGGAAGCTGGATAAAGGGATGAGGTGAACCACTGATGTTTATTATTGTTTTTTGATAAAACTGAAAGTCTGTCAATGCTCATAAAGTAAAAACTAAAAGAAAAACCAACATGAGGTGTCTTGTTAAGGAGCTCGTTCACCACATGGAGCCACAGAAGCTTCAGCATTATAGTCTTAGTTATTATATATTTAATAAAACAAACACTGAGCTGCTTTTAACTTTTATTGAACTCCTGCTGGTCGGGAACTTATGATGACCTTGCATCTAACAGGCTCTTTAGTTCTTTCAGGACACGAAGGACATGAAGACGTGTCTACTCTTGTTTCCTTGTGACACGATCACCTTACACAGCTTTTAATCCTCCCACTAACCATATTTCCTGATGATCCAAAAATAAACTAACAGAAATAACAACCATCCGGTCACTTTAATCCCCTGAGCTCAATCAGAAGACGGCAGGGGGTTGGCCGCAATCAGGGTTAGTTTGCCTGCAGCCTGGGTCACGGAAAACTGCAGCAGAAGTTAGACTGAAAGAGGAAGTCTCATTTCCTCTGTCTCACCTGACAGCTCGGATGACAGACTTGACCGAGGGCTGCAAGTCCTCCACTGAGATGTCGCAGTGACAGCCCTTCTCATCAAAACCGTCCTCCGCTGTAATGTTGGAGTCTGCTGTTTGGAAGAGAGGCGCAGAAAAGGAGGATTATTTATTTCTGTGATAGCGATGAAGTCACTTTATGCCAATGAGAACATTTTGCATCCACACAAACAACAGATTGCAGTGAGCCGTGTTAGTCTTACTGCTCAAACACACTAACATGCAGTCGCAGAAACTTCAAGTCATGGTTTGCTTTACAAATCACAGTCAAGATGGGTCTGAAAAGAAATGTTCCACCAACTGCAGTTCCTCTAATGGCCACTTGAGGTTGGCTCAAAAAGCGAGTCAGTCCCTCTAGACTCCCATGAATACATAACTATACAATGGGCACACTTTTTTATGATGCATCCATTTGCACATTGGTGGAGCCTAAAATTGGGGCGGTTCATGTTTGATTGACAGGTACAAATACATATTTGAAATGTGAAGATCATGCGGTCTGTCTTATCGTGGCTAGCTCATGATTTTAGGTTGTGATTATGTAGATTGATGGTGCTGTTAGGTTAACAAACTAATGCAGTTGTAAAATGAATTAACCTCCAAAAATCAAACTGACTGTGAGGTTGCAGACCAAGAAAAACTCCACTTCTTCGTAACAGACACTTTCAAGCCAGACTGAAGAATGCCAAGGACAATCTGGAGAAAGGTTATGCATTCTGAAAGTGCGTCCTTTGTTCATATGAGACAAAACTAGAGCTCTTTGGCCACAGAAACGCTGCTTATGTTTGGAGAAAGAAGGGAGAAGCAGACAACCCAAAGAACACCGTCTGCACAGGGAAACACGATGATGGGAGCATGCTTTAGTGCATCTGGAACTCGGAATCTCATCAAGGTTGAAGGTATTGTGACGAAAGTAGTGGTGCAACGGATCAAAAATCTCACGATTCGGATCGGATCACGGTTTTAAGTCACGGGTCGGATCAATTTTCGGATCAGCAAAAAAATAAAAAAGACAAAAATTGAACATTTACTTATTTACTTATGGAAGTATTTTTTACATGTTAAAAACATTCAACTCTAGACTCATTCTACGCAATTATTTAAAATAAAAAAATGGTACAATATAGTGCAGTATAGGGCTTTGTATCTACCACTCAATTCAATTTTATTTATAAAGCGCCAAATCACAACAACAGTCGCCTCAAGGCGCTTGATATTGTTAGGTAGACCCTACAATAATACATACCGCTCATTATATCGCACTCCGCTGTGATATAACGAGCGGTCACGGTCACGTAGCTTTCCGTTGCCCTGGAGCTCCACCCATTTGTAGTTGGGCAACAGATCAGTTCAGCCATAACTTAAATCTTGTCCTGCTCATACATGCCTGGGTACGATCTTGTCACTAAAGTGGACGCGCAACGGGATATCATAGCGTGGCTCAAGCACGTGCATCATAGTTTAAACCCCTTGTTTTGCACAACGGAATACGGCCTCCCGTCTGCAGCGAAACACTCCAATAGCTTTTGTATTAGCTTTAGCCCGGTCGGACTGGGCATGAAAGGGCTGCTTAAATACCGCAAACTCCTCTGCTCCTCCACTTGGACCGCTAGCGCTGGCCATAACTATCACTTGACAGACCCACCATGCGCACTGTGGAGTGGGATCAGTTTGGATTACGGATCAACTGTGATCCGTTGCACCACTAGACGAAAGAAGGATATGTGAAGAAGAAAACATCAAGCAGTCAGCAGGCAAAACCAGGTTTGGGTAATGGCTTTGTCTTCCAATATGACAACAACTTCAAATTTGCATCACTCCTGCTGAAGAACATCTGACGAATACTTTTGACCCTGGTAGTTTTTGTAGTTTTGGACAATTCCAGCTGTTTTTAGACAGAAACTCTAAACAAAACCTGCTCATCACCAGGTCACTGTTTAGTTTCAGAATAAGTTACCACCTCGATTTAACAGGTAAAAAGTGACTCAAGACTCATAAGAGACTAAACCCGGACTTTAAGCTCAACACAGCTTACTAATCCATTGACCTTCACTTTGTAGTTACACGCCTCTGCTGGGGATCTCTGTGAGCTGGTGGAAAATCTGGAGTCTAAATAGTTTAAAGCACAGATCAAAGCTGTCCAAAATCCAGAGATTCACCTTAGTGTCATGGGGTAATAAAGCATTAAAGGTTTAGAAAGACTTCATTTTGATTTTCCAAATGGAGCAGGAACCCTGAGCACCCTGAGGAGGTAAGCACAGGGTTAATGCCGTTGATGTGTTCTGTTGAACTAAACACTGTAGATGACCTCAGGAAAGGATCGATTACTCCACAGTATGTGGGTTTTGTCAGACCTGCTGCTGATGAAAAACAGTGCTGATTAATGATTTGCTCCATTAAAAACTTTCCACTAAAATAATTCCTGGTTTCATTTCTAATTAAGCCAGAATGGAAGGGAGATGTTTCCCATCCTCTAATGTCTCACTTAGCCAACATGTCAGCGATCAGACGCAGCGTGGCTAACCAGCCAACCAGTTTGGTTTTGGCTAGCTTGGCTAATGATTCCTCTCCACCAGCAGGCCTCAGCCAGCTGGACGGCTCTGACACCCCATATGGCTCCTGGAGCTCACCACCCCCACCTTCCATCTATCCATCAGTCCGCCCACAACCACCAACTGGCCGTTACCCAGGAGGACTCGCCAGGCCGGCACTGCTAGGCCAAAGAAAGTGAGCACAGCAGCCATCAGCATTCCTCCACTCCGCTGCGCCATTAGTGAGCCAAACCAGTTCTGATGAGCTGGATCAAGAGTCGGTTAAATATGAGCAGTGAGGTTGGGGCAGTTGTGCTTATTTTTATATCTCAGGAACACCTTTCTTTAAATGCGGCACTCAAGGAAGAGCAAGAGCAGCTGTTTGGAGAGGTTACTCACTTCCTGTTAATCCCGCATGATTGAAACTGGCCGATTTTGACTTTGACAGCACACAATGAGCAGCAGTGAATGTAGCCTAATGGCTAAAATAAGTTATTAGACCTGCTCTGAACAAAAAAAGACATTGAGACATTTCAAAATTTAAATGGAAAAAAATTCTAACATCTTTTTTTTTTCCCCTCACAGGAAAAGCAGTTTTGTCCAGTACTATTTATATAACGCCAAAACACAACAACGGGCACCTCAAGTTAAAGACTCCATGATAATAGAGAGAAGATGATGAAACCAAGAAGGCCGTCTTCAGTTTTGGTACGGTAATATGTTACTTAGCATTTATAAGCCACCACTAAAAAGCCAGCATGGTGGAGGCCAGAAGCCAGACTCTAAAACAGGTGATTTTGCTTTGTTAATAATCCACACTGATATAAAATACCGGCAGTGAAAGCAGAATGGCACACGCACCATCAGTGGTGGAGCGGGACTGACTCTTGAGGCGGAGCGACGGTCTGAACCGCGTGCGGTCGTTAAAGCTCCAGCTCTTCTGAACCTTGGCGGGACTGGTGCCCTCTGTGCCAGCGTCAGCCACCGGAGAGCGCCTGTCGTTCACTGATGACGTCTGCCTATTCTTGATGCTCTGACCTCGGGGGCTCGCCATCCTCACCCGCTCCTTGAAACTCAACTTCTGGCTGAAATTAGTGATGAAGAGTAGTACAGAGGGAGATTGGAGCGAGAAGGGGAAAGAAGAAGGAAGTGAAGTGGGGTGGAAATGACAAAGAGGTCAACATGTTTGAGCGATAAATGATTTTCATGATAGCAAAAAGTTATCCTGGAAAAGTGTTCCTTCATAAACTGCTGAACATGGCAGCCATCCATTTAGTATAAGGGCTGCAGGACAGGATGGAGACAGACCAGCATGCATTGCAGCAGATGCTTTAGACAAAATGCAAGCTTTGGTTAGATATGAAGCTTCAGCTGTATGATGATGCTGGTGGTTTGTTCCTGCAAGTGTGCACAGTATGCCGTCTTGTGTGACCAATTAGTTTACACATCATTAAAAGAGCCAGCGGGTGTCGCACAGTTATATTAAATGTATCGCATGTTTTTATATAAAAGTGTGAGTTTATGGATGAAAATTCATAAGAATTACCTGCAGAGTGTGAACAGGCAGGACCATGAGGTGTGGAGATAATTAGCGAGTGACAGATCCTGTGTTTATGCAGAATGACAGCATGCAAAGCCGTTCGCAGGCGTCAGCCGTGCATCATTTACACGCTGCAGAGGATTAAACAGAAGTCTGTGTTCTTCTTATTGTCACCAAATCAGTGGATTTTGGTCATGAATGTGTTGATTCGTCTCAGTAAATTCTTACTCTTAAACTCAATAGTCTGAGAAAGTCAACAGGATGGCTAATGATTTCATTAAGACGTTATCAGCCAACGAGTGCATCTGCATAATCCTCCTTTCTAATAACTTGTAAAATGAACGTCATGATCTCACTTGTTAGTCTCAACGTGACTTGACACTAATGACTGAGCCCGTGAAGTCATCAGGAAAATGTTGCATGCTAGGTTCTGATTCTAAGCTAACGTTAGCTAGTGTTGCTCACTGCTGACTGTGCCGAGTGGCAGTGAGGCCCTCGAGACTTTGTACCGACTCTGACTCGTATCCCTCGTTAGAAATCAGAGCACATGATGTAAGAAGTAACTGAGAGTCTCATAGCTGTTAGGTGGCTAGCAATAAGAAGCAATGCTTCTCACCGGTGGAGGGGATGGTACCTGAGATGTCTGTGTGGGTTCTGGTGAGTGAAGCGCGGTTTATCGTTTAGGTGGAATACAAGGAGGTGAGTGAAGAAGAAAATGTTGACGGTGCAACACACACACACACACACACACACACACACACACACACACACACACTAATTTCAATCTCACTACATCCAGAGAAAAAGCTAATTAGTTATTTCAGAGGAGCTGCTGCTGAGAACGAAACCTGGCACAGACTAATGACCTGACAGTTAAAAACCAAAATCACAACAGGCACAAATAGCGCATTGCTCAGGCAAATATCAAACAAAAGGCAGATAGTGTGTTACTATGAAGGCGACTGATGTCTCCCTGCAGGGTTTTCTGACTCTGCTCTCTCTGAGGCTGCACAGCCTCCTACAGATACCCATGCACCAAGAATTAGTCAGCATTCCCAAAGAAAAACTTCATGTCACAGGGAGCAGAGATGCTGTGTACCTATGTTTCCGAGCAGTACACCTCCTCAGTAGCTTCTGTTTATTACTATGATTTTTACTAAAAACCAAGGGGAGATAGACACACGGTGATGTGTTACATGAAGCAGAAACAGATGAGAGAAAATCTTTCTGTCTTAAACCTTCGTGCATCTAAACACCACTTTCTTAGTGTAAGCTCTGCAGAATAACTGATTGATGAACCTTTGCAGGACTGTATGCATGAAGTCTAGGAAGTACAAAGTAATACGTTTACCGCTGGAGTTTCAATTTGTCGACCACTGACATTTAGAAGCAGCAGAACGGAGGCAAATTGAGCTTAGTAGAGAAAATGAACATCTACAGGACTGTTTGAAAAAGGCTGCAATTTGGTGAGTCACACAGTTCATGCCGATATCCCTCATTTAACTATGTGAATTCAGCTGGGCCATGGCAACAAGTGCCTGAATCACCAGTGAGCGGACAGGGAGCTTTACACAGTCGTGTGGGTTTACTGAAGGTATAAACATGCAAATCCATTTTTGTTTCCCATGTAATGTTTTGGTTTCCTCACTGCCTTTTCTCATATATACTGATTCTGTTAATAAAGCAAGGCAGCTCTGCACTGACTGCACAGTGTGGCGTTTAATCCCTCCTCTCTAGCTCTGCAGTAGAGACATAAATAGAGTTGGGGGTTTTGCAGAACCTCCATCACCTTTTCTACATTGTGGTGTATTTCATAAACCAGGTTCAAAGGGAAAGAGTAATGTAAAAAAAAAAAAAGAAAGCACGCCTGCCTTCAGTTCGCAGCGGTGGTTTGCAGACAAACATTTACTCAGTGTTTCATAACTGCAAACACAACATATTACATCACACAGCCTCCACTGCCCTGCACACTGCCCTCCCCAAATGAGTCTATAAATGCATTGGCTCAAAGAGAAACATCAGGAGCACTGATTTCATTACAAAATTAAGCAATATTAGGACATTATCACACAGAATAACATTTGTAATAAGTGTGTAATAGATACCTCAGGCAAGAGGATGGTTTAAAGCATGAGAAAAATGTTGTGTGTGTGTTTTTGCCTTTGTGTGTAGTGAACGTGGTGTGTAAATGATTTTATTTTTTCTCTTTTGGAGAGAAAAAGCAATAAAAAGAAAAAACAGCACCAAACAGAAAGTCAAAACACTGAGTCATACAGAGTGCTTGTGTAAAAGTGGCTGCTTTTCCAGGCAACACATCATCACCCTTATGGCCTTCAGCTCCTGTTAGGGCACCTGTTCTGTCTGGGTGACCATGCAGGTCGCACAGAAGTGTGGCGGAAAGAGCCCTCAAAGACAGCCGGCCATTGTTTGAACATAACGATGCAGATCACGAGTGTATTAACAGAACTTCTTCAGCTTTGCTGCTGATTTCCCAGCGCTCATTCGTTTGCATTAGAGCATTGCAGGAAATGCTTTGTACCTTCTACTGAATTTAAGTGAGTGATAAAAATAAAAGCTGCACCACATTTTTGATGTCATGCAACATAAGGTACATCCGGTGTAGCTAAGTTGTCCTAAAGGCGATGACACGTCATTAGAATAGAAAGTAAATATGGGCGTGGCCATGGAGAATCACTAATGAGTGAGCTGCAAAGTGCAGATGAAGGTTGAAAAAGAAGTGCCACAATAACATCAGTTCCTCTAACAACCGGTGTCCAAGAAGTCCGGCTGTACAGCAGAAATAAACACATTTATAGCCTGATACCTAAAACTATTTCGGCCTCTATAGATTGATTCCCCTTCATAACATTGTTGAGGTGTATCTTATAGCCGTCATTCATCTTTGATCTACAGGCAGGAGTTAGAAACTCTAAAATCTAAAGCTGACTTTTCAAGGTAATCTAAAAACTCAAGTACTTACAAACATTTGACTAAAAACAAGAAGAAAAAGCCATGAAAATAAAATTCAGGCACTCAGTTATTTTCAGGTAAATTTCCCAAGTGGTCACACGTGGTACTGCGCCGCATCAGCTTTGTTGATACATTCTCTGATTTGACGCCCAGCCCTATTTCCAAGTCATGGACTTACAACACTACGTAACACAGCGAAGGTCAAACAGTCACAAACCTTGTGGTCGACTCTCCCTGCTCCTTCCTGCAGCAGACAGATCAGAAAAGGAAAGATATTTGAGAACACATCTTTTCATAAAACTTCAGTAATAGTACAGTGCTTATATCAAAATACTGGTGCTTTTGCAAGTTTTAGCCCATTTATTAGAAATCTCATATGTTGTATTAAAGAGAGTTTAACTAATATTTTCCACTTTGTCTTGCATCAATTTTTGTATGGTAAGTTATGTAATCTACCACAGTGAACAGTCTTTTTTGGTCAAAGTTACAATGTTATTGCAAGGTAATACAGTGCATCATTTTTTATTTTGCAGCTTGGTCTATTCCAAGACCAAGGAATATTGGGTATCTAACCCATTACAGGACGTTCATTTTCTGCACAACCGCAGTGAGAGCCTGGTTCACACTACCAGAAATAATTTGGACCCGGTCACAGTGGAAGCTGCCCTCTGCCAGGTTGCCCTTGGTCATTAATACTGGTCATAACCTTCTAGAACAGGGGTGTCAAACTCAAATACACAGTGGGCCAAAATTCAAAACTGGAACAAAGTCGCGGGCTAACATTAATATTTATTGAAAAATCTTCCTCCAGATATAAGAATGAATCTTTTCTTATGGACTCAAACAAGTTTTGCTGAAAAACTGAATATGGAACAAGCAAAGCTTAATACTAAACAATATATATATTAGCTTTATAATACCAGTAGGCCAGCTCTAATAGTAATTTGGTATGGCTTCGCGGGCCAAATGTAATTAGGCTGCGGGCCAAATTTGGCCCGCGGGCCAGAGTTTGACACCTATGTTCTAGAATTTCTAGGCAAAGCCAAGGGGGCAGGGTTTAGAGTTCAGAGTTCAGGGTTTAGAGTTCAGATGAGGTTCCTTCGAAGGGTGGCAAGACTCTGGATGGAGCATGAGGAGCTCAGTAAGTCAGGAAGGACTCTGCTTAGAGCTGCTTCTCCATCACATGAACAGGAGCCAGCTAGAGTGGTTCAGGTATCTAACCAGGACATATCCTGGCACCTCCTAGGTGAGGATGAGGTTAGTCCAACTAGCAGGAGATCCAGACCCAATAAGTGTCAAAGTTTTTGTGAAGTGGATGCATTATTCCACATAATAACATGAACTCGTTTGGCTTAATGAAAACCAAGAAACCAGTTTATAAAGCACACCCTGACGTGTACTGGACAGTGAACCTGCTGGATGCGCTTCATGTTGGGTAATGCAGGTTGTGCCTCATATACTTAGCACCGAGGCTTTTCCAGGCAGCTGATTTCTATGTTTACTTTTGCTTTGCAAACCTTTTCAGCGTGTAAAGTTAGCGCGGCCTCAGCAGTAGTGTTAACGGCAAATGCGAATTCTTCTTTAACGGCAACATCATAAATGCAAAGTTTATGTCCACAGTGATGAATGACACACTCAGCATGTTTAAAAACTCCTTTACTCTCCAGTTAAAGTCGTGATGATGTGAGCTTTAGGAATTCATTAAAATACAAGTTATACATGATTTATAACCGAGGAGCTAAAACCTGCAAATGCACCAATGTGTTCAGCATGATAGGGAGATTTCTGCATCACAAGCTTTGCCAGCAGCTGTTTCTTTCACAAATGCAGAGGATTTGAAGGCCGCAACACATCGATCAATAAGAGGCCTGATGGTGGAAGCCTTAACAAACAGCAGACTCACTACAAACATGCAGGTTCATGCACACTAAAGCAGCAGCGAGAGAAGAAAGTGACTTAAGGACTGCATGTTTCACACATTACTCCTTTAAATAAAGTAATCATAAAGCTATAACTGTACATTATATGTAACCATCTGCAATGCATTTATTGTATACATTGCAGATAGCTGTCCCAATATTTCCAGGCTCCACAGATGGCTTTCAAAAGCACATAGGAGGGGTGGAAAACAAACCCCAATCACTGGGTGTTTGCAGGGTGTTTAGGATGGATACCAAAAAATGCACAAATCATAAAATTTTAAAAAAGTTCTTTAACCAAAGAAGAAAAGCTCCCCATTTCTATAATTCAAGGTGCATAACTAGCTCGAGTATTAACGTTTAGCAGCTTGGTTAGATGCCTGGATTATATCACAGAACTGTGGATAATTTTAAACAGAGTATTTAAATGTAAGTGCACAAAACTCATAAATGCCAATGCTAAAACATGAAGGGAGGCGAGCTTTTAAGGCCAGCTTTTCTGCTTTTATCATGTGCTGTTTGGGACGATACCAGTCATTTCCCACAGCACGTGCCATCACACTGTGATGACCTGTCATTTTGACTTTCATTTAAATAAAAACATTATTGTGCCAATTGAACCCATGTGGGTTCTAGAGATTTATTATCTTTTCTAAAATGTGTAGTAACAGTACGTGGGATTATAGCAGTCATGCAGCGTATGTTGAGGTCTTTTATTCTGAAAGGAACAGGAAGAAGCTCTTTTTAGATATACGTTACATAGAGCAAAGCAGGTTTTGGTACAGACTGGGCAGCTTCATGAATAAAGTGCTCGTCTTAGGTCAATTTAAAAAATAGAATTTGCTGGCTGGAGTAGACACGGTATGATTTATGAAATAATAAATCAGAGGCAGGGATGTTTCTGAAACTTTCTTAGTCATAAAAATTATTCAGGAACTGCATAGTTAAATCTTTTACCTCACAGGGTATGAAACACAAAACTTCAGGAGCTTCTTTTCCAGCACATGTTCAAATTCTGATCTAGTCCCAACAAACTAAACATGAAGTCCATGATGTTTGTGTGGGACAACATGGGTGATGAGATTAATGCTAAAATGCAGATTGAATTTTTTTGACATTGAGACAATTTAAGAAAAGGAACACAGCTTGCAGTTTTTTTTAACTTAATTCCATTTTCCCAACTTTTATTAGCAGAAGTAGAAGCTAAAGTTTGTTTTTATGCTGTTATGCGACAGGTATGTCAGCTGCTGCCGTGCCTGGAAATTATCTTTGAGTTCCAGCATCCTTGAGTCAGCACATCTGTTGGTGAGGTGTGTTTACGTTTGTGAACTGAAGCCAATAAAAATTTGGACAGTGCCTCAATATGTGGGGACACGAATAAAAATAATGTGTGGTCCCATTTAAAGTGTGACACCTTAAGACAGAAACCAGGTGAGGCGCAAACATGGAACCTGTGAATTGGCCTTCAAGCGGTTTCTGAATGCTGAGAAGCACCTGCAGCCAGGCAACACTCCTACGACTCAGACAAAAACATGTCAACTTTGGTGACGCGGTCCAAACGGTTATAAAGAACACGTGAACACCAAGGATGATTCGGATTGGGCTTTTTAGAAACTTGTTCTGACACCGCTCACACAAAGTCAGGTAGGTGAAAGGAGAACTTTCATGTCATGACTTGTTTTGAGCAGACGCGCATCTCACATGGTGATATGAGCATTTAAAGTTTACCCAGAATGCACTTTTTGAAGTGAATTCTCTGGGGCGTCTGTTCCTCTACACTGCAGACATTAAAGTTGTGTTACTGAGTACGATCTGAAACGCTAGGATGTATCACGAGATACTGAAGCTCAGAGATGGTTATAGAGCAGCGGTGTCAAACTCCAGGCCTCAAGGGTCGGTGTCCCTGGGTCAGCAGACCTGAATCAAATGATTACTTCATTACCAGGCCTCTGGAGAACTTTTTAGGAGGTAATTTATCCATTTAAATCAGCTGTGTTGGATCAAGGACACATCTAAAAACTGCAGGACACCGGCCCTCGAGGCCTGGAGTTCCCCACCCCTGTTGTTGTAGAGAAAAACAAATCTTACTTAAATAAAACCTTGATTGTGGATTGTGACACTCGTGGTGATTTGGTTGCAGTTTTTAACAGAGATTAAATGTGATTTTCAGTCCTGAAGGTTTCATGTGGATATAATAAATACTGACACTTAAAAAGCCTTTAATTTAAAATCATCCCTTTTGTACTTTGAGGGCTGTAAAATTTGAAAAGATTCACACTATGAAGGTAAAATTACGTATGGTTTTATTATAAATACCAACTTTCCTGTCATTGACAGTAATATGAAGAACCACTTGATGGAAGTTGACGGTTTGACGGCACTGGGGGAAATTTCTCAACTCTTTCCGCATCCCTCATCATTTTCTGTAAAAAAGCTGCGCTACAGCTAAAGCTTGACACACTGACAGACTGAAATAGGTGCGTCCCTCTAAATCACTCTGGGCCCTGGGCTTTTGAGAAGATGAGGGCTTTGAGTTCAAAAAGCCCGATTGGGTCATTGAAGCCACAATTGGAGTCATAAATAGACGTGCTATGAAAGGGTGACGGCTAAAATTGCTGCCTTGGTCCCTCAAAGCAGCGAAAGTTCCTGGCCCGTTGAGCACTCAGCGCACAGACGGAGACATTTATAGAGAAGCAGATGAAGGAGTCAGCTTTTTTTTTTTTTTTTTACATTAATGGAGCCTGGAAATTGTCTGTCATTTATAAATTAAAATTCTAAAATCACTTCTTCTATAAATTTTCAATAAAGAGAAAAAAAGCAGATACGTAAAACGACAGGACAGAGCAGGAAAAGTGAATAATCCAAAGAGGATCTAAATGAACTTTAAATTTGCAAAGTTGAAGTGCAGGAAAGGAATGTGGCACAGACACCAAATACAGACACCAGCTGCCATAGTTGTACCTACTTTGTAGGGCTGCAGGTATGCAACGCCTTCAAGTGAGGCTTCCAGGTAGCAATGGAAACCGAGTTCTCATCAGCCGCATAACTACGCCAAACACACTGCATGCAGAATACACAAAAAAAATAGGTGGAAGGGAAAAATTAAAAGACCCCCCTCCCAGAAAAAAAACGATAAACAGACAGAAAAAAGGTAAAAAACAAAAACAAAAGAAAAACAAGGCCCCAGAGGGAGTCAGGAGAAGAGGAGAAAAGAAAAGAAAGTAAAAAAAGAGCTGATTAGTGAAAACTAAAACACGGATGTGTCACACGTCTGGGGTCGGCCGGCGGTCAGGCATGGATACATGCCTGTGGAAAGGCAGGAGGCTCTCATAGTGCCGCCACGTGGCGTCCAGGTAGGGCCTGGTGCTGTCGGTGGAGTAATAACGCCACGCAGCCTGGTACAACATGGGGATGCACAGGATGAAGAGGAGGAGGAGGAGGAGATGGGAACATATGATGGACAAAAGGAAAAGGAAGCATGTGGGGAAATATACGAGGAGGTCAATGTGAGTTCAGCACCAGTGAAAGTCAGGATGAAACTAAAGGTGAGTGAAGATCAGGTAGCAGGACGGAGGGGATCGTTGGTGTTTCTGTGCTTTATACCATAGACTGTATATAAAAGACAGACAGTGGGAGGAGTTTTCTCTGTAACTCAGCTCTTGATTTAACATCGCCGTGGTTCCTCAGACCCCAAAAAATAAACAAAAACAAAACAACCATCCCCCCAAATAACCCTGCCAGGCTTTCGGATTGTTTCAGACAAGTAGGAAGGAAATGTTTTTGACACATTTAAACAATTGCTTTAATCCAAACTGGATTTCATCTGAAAGCTGATGACGAGTCCCAGGTATTTAACCCAGGATTGTCACGTTGGAGTTCGTTCCGGACATGTTGGCCTTGTTTGCGAGTTGTTGTCCCACCCTATCATCATGTCGTTTGTTAAGGTCATATAGGACGAGGACTGAATGTTGTTAGATCGTCTGGAAAGGGACCTCAGGACCGAATCATAGGTGGCAGATAGTTGGAGTTGTCGGACACCACTTCAGTTCAGTGGACAGAGATGCTTTCAGCCACCTACAACACTGACTCCTCATCAGCTTTAAAAACTGAAGAAGCCTTTGGAACGTCAAGAGATCATCTAGATTAGATGAGCTGAACAGACGTTTCAAAGCATAAATAAAGTCACACAGTTTTTTTTCTCCTTGTCATGAATCTTCCTTGGGCAGTGGTGGTTAGCACAGCTGCCTCACAGCAAAAAGGTCCTGAGTTCAATTCCACCATCATGCTGGGGTCTGTCACACCTATTGGTGTGAATGTGAGTGCAGATGGTTGTCTATGTGTTAGCCGTGGAACATCCCTCGGTTCCACCTGTGCTTGTAACGCCTGCTTTCAAAATGGCAAGAAAAGAAGAAAAACAGGAATCTGCAATCCAAATGGTGATCTCATGGTAGCCATGACCATCTTTTATATACAGTCTATGGCTATACTAGTAGGAGGTGAAAGAGATGATTGAGCTTTGAGAAGATGAGGAGAGAAGTGGGCTGCACAGGGTGACGATATCTGCTTTTCACTGGGTTTCGTCGAGTCCATGAAGGAAAAGGACAAAGTGGAGAATGACAGTCGCTTATAGATTTTAACAACACTACAGTGGATTGAATCGTCAACATTAACGTCTTCGTTGTCCAGCCCAGAGCAGAGATATGTGTCAGAGACAAAAGAATAACAGGGTGTCTGTTTTACCTGGATGAGGTAGGCCGCTGGGTTTCTTCTCTTCTCAAAGTGCTTCTGTCTGTGCTGCTCCTGGACCTTCAGGGCAAAGCCTGAACCCAGAATACCCTGAAATGATATAAACAGCAATAAATACACACACCACAAATACACCATGATGTGGTTTCGTGCACTGGTAGCAGTGACTTAAAGAGAGTATCCTAGTGCTCCTGTGCAGGCTTCCAGAAGTCAGCCAATAAGAAGAGAGCAGGCAAGCGCTAAAACAGCTTGTTTCAGAGAACTTTTGTCCTCAAGTAGGAACATAATTCAATTTAATGACTGAATTACTGTGACTGGAAATTAACTGAATGTTCTATTACAACAATACAACAATAATTATTTTTATAAACTACAATAATAAGGTTGTAAATTTACATTAAAAAAGAAGCAAATTTCATAAAAAAGGAAACTTTACGAGAGAAAAAAATGAAAACCTGTTACAGAAAACTGATTCATAAAAAAAGAATAACTTACAGCTGGCAAGGCAAAGAAGGAGATGCCGAGGAGGGCGAACCCCGCGGACAGCATCCGCCCCGTCCACGTCTTTGGCGTCTTGTCTCCGTAGCCGATGGTTGTCAGGGTGATCTGTGAAAACAATGATTATTATCAGGGCCTGATGGATGCTCATATGCAGCCCCTGGCTGTTTAAACAGGGAACTTTTAAACAAATGTTATATTTAAAATTAAAACTTGTGCTGTATCAGAACTTGCAAGTGACCTGGTAATGCCGACGTTGTCTATGACTTATCTAAGCATCTACAAGCTATTAGCAGTTTTTTTATTTAACAGTAAGACGTCATTAGTTGGAAATTATAAAGTCATGTGGAATACCTATACCTATATCTACCTATATGAGGCCTGTTTTTAAAGGCATCTTTTAAAGGTTGTAGGACAGAAACTGGTTTCATCTTTTTGTTTGTGACTCAGGCAGCTTTTGCAGTTTTGGTGAAATGGTCCTTTAAGTGATATTAAAAAGGGGTTATTTGGTTAGTAGACTTGAAAATGCATCCTCTGCTTTACTTACACTAATCTATTAAGACTGCGTTTATTTCTGTCAGACTGCTCAGTGTTAAATGTCTTCTGGTACGCATCGCTCCATTGTATTTGCATCTTTTTCCTTTTTGCATACAGCCTGATTTTCTCCATACAGAGACATGATTTTAAATGATGCCTTCAAGCACTGCAATCACATCTGAATGATTAAACCTGCGCAGAGGCTTTAACGGGCGTCAGTCTGTGCGGCCTTGGTTCCAAGAACGCTGCTGAAAGCCGGCGGCTCAAATGTTTATTCTGCCTTATCTGAAAAAATAAAGTTTTCTAAGGCACAGAATGTGCACTCCTCTTGTCCTTTATGTGCAAAGACCTACCGAGCATCTGATGATGTTGTGCAGATATACACGGAGAGGGCGTTTTGACAATATGAAACCTCAGATTCAATGAAAATGGGACTCAAACATCTCGATGTCAGCAAGTGAAGTTTTAATAGAATTAAAAGAGTTAATTGCAGTAATGATTTAAATTGATGGTACTTAGTGCATCAAAATATGACTGCTGGATAAAAGCATTCTCATGTATTCAACAAAAGCCTGAAAAGAAGCACTTAATGAAGTGTATTCACCATTTAATGACAGGGGCAGATGTATCTGGCCGTGGACTGAAACTGGCAGGAAAACCTTACTTGGCTTTATTACTGTGCCGGTTTTATCTGCCCATCTGTACAGATATCCATCCATCTACCTCTTTGATTTGGAAGCCTGAACATTTTTCATTCAGGCTCTGATTACCATTCATGACAAAGGCTATTTTACACCATTATGAATTTCTGAGCTGGATTAATAATGGTGTTTAACGGAGCCGTGCAGGACTAATGTTTATGGACGGCTGTTGGTGCTCAGAGGCAGAGCTGAACAGGAGATAATAACGGCAAGGATTCTGCTTTTCTGCATCCAGAGCACGACACACTCATCTGAAAATACTCAGAGTAAAACCTGTACTCTGCTGATGTCCAAGAAAGTCTAACTCAGGAGGGTCAGGTGGCTGCAGAGATTGGCTGACAGCTGGTAAAAAAATCATTTCTATCAGGGCTTTTTACTAAAGTACAGAAATTCCTCCAAACTCACTGTGCCCCACCACAAGGCATCCGCATACGTAGCAAACTCATTGTTGAACTTATTCTCCACAAGGTAGACAAGGAACGAAGAGAAGATGAGGACCAAGAAGCCGATGTACCAGGCGGTTACCAGTTCCTGCAGAAGTCAAAGAGGTCATTCAGAGTTTAATGGTGGAAAAAGGAGCATTTATTTAATGCACATCGACCTAAAACCACTTTTCTCTGAACACTGAGGTCAGAAACAGAAATAAAATAATGACGTGATAGGTCACGACCCTTTACAGAACCTTCCTCTGATGCAGTCCCTTATTGGTTTAGACATAAATATGATAAAACACTGCGACCAACTTCCTGATGTGCTGCTAAAACAGCTGCTGAACTGCCTGCTCTGAACTCTACAAGACCTCTGAATGTGCCCAGTGTTACCTGCAAATCAGGGACTGCAGCTAATCTGACTCATTGCTCTGCTCGAACAACGCTGTAGGAACACAGCTGTGCTGGTGTACACTTTATCAGGAACATTTAGGTAGGTGATGAATGCTCATGAAACCCTCTGTGACCTCAAAATAGCAAGGAAGAGCAATCAAACTATCATGCAAGATTAGTCTACTAGCTTAAAAATAAATAAATACTGCATAACATTTCATCTTTAACACCTTTAATTGTTTTAATCGTATAAACATAGCGTTACAGAAACATCTTGAGATTCCCTGAAGCTTGATCTGCAGATGCCCTCCTCGCCTACCTTGCTGTGTGCGTAGACTACAGAGCCCAACAGCTTCCAGGTGCCTCCCCTTCGGTCCATTCGCACCATTCGTAGGATCTGCAGGAAACGCAGGCTTCGCAGGACTGACGTGGCAAAGATGTTGCCCTGGCTACCTGCTGACACCACCGCCACTGACGCTATCAGCACTATGATGTCTGGAATGAAAACACAAAACGACGGCTTACCAGCAGAAGAGGATACAATTCTTTATGAAGCTGCCTTTAAAATGATCTGCACTGATAAATATGTGTTTTCAAACAGAAATAATCTATACAAAGCTACACTATACAGACAAATCTGCTGGGTCACCAACACACTACACCTACAGGAGCTGCCTTGCTACAGGAACCAGGCTGTGAAGCTCCTGGCATGCCAGAGGAAGACGACCACAAAAAGATCAGAAAAACTTGAAATACAGTTTTTATTATGGTGGATTATGAAAACTGATTTTGATGCTAATGCTAGCTGAAGTTTGGACCTCTGCAGTTACTGAGTCAACAGAGCATTATTCATGTTTATGCACTTTACCTTCTCTGTGCTTGATTTTATACACCTGTGACTGAAACACTTGAATTCAAAGGCTCAGAGGTAGGGGTGCAACGATACACAAAATTCACGGTTC